CACCTCAAGACGCCCCCATGAGGCCCAAAGAAAGCCTCCGACGGGCCCTGCACAGTGGCGGACCCCTGGTTCGACACCCCTGCACAGTGGCGGAATGGGCCGAAACCTAATAGACAGAGCGGGCAGTCTGTCGCCTTGCTTGGAGTCTGGGGGGCGTCTCGGCACCACAAAAAAGTATCCGGAATGACAAGCTAGCCCCGACATTTTGTTGAGGGCCGCGGACCGACACAAATCACTCGGAGCCTTGGGGGGGGTCGCAGTGGAACGGAAAACCCCCCACCAGGAAATTGGTCTCGGTTTCGTGTTCGTGTCGCACGTGCGGGCGAGACGAAGCTTCGTGGGCGCGCGAGATGAATGACCGCCCCGTCACTAGGGCGATTCGGATGCAGAACTTCGGTCCTCGGGTGGGCGCGCGGTGGCTGGGGGTGTCTCGCCGTGGCGTCCCACGGTGTCCCGATGGTGTCCCGCGGTGTCTCGCCGTGGGCGCGCGAGAGGAATGATCCCGCGGTCGCAAAAATCCAGCCATCTGGTGGGCGCGCGGTGGCTTGGGGTGTCCAGCCGTGGTGTCCCGCGTTGTCCCGATGGTGTCCCGCGGTTTCCCGCCGTGGTGTCCCGATGGTCTCTCGTGGTGTCCCGTGGTGTCCCGTGGTGTCCCGCGGCGTCCCAGTGGTGTCCCGCGGTGCCCCGTGGTGTCCAGCAGTTTCCAACGGCGTCCCGCCGCGATGCCCCGATGGTGTCCCGATCGATAGCGCAATCGAAGTTCAGAACCGATACTGCCAAGGCGCGCTCCCCCCCGTCCAGCTGGCCTCGTCGTTCGGCCAAGCTGCGCATTACGAAAATCATCGGTGACACTGGGTTGCCGTTGATGAGTCCTCCCTGGATCTGGACAGCCTGCGGCCATCCCGGTAAGGCGCGACGAGACCTAGGCCGCCTGGCGAAACTCATTGAGGCCTGAGTTCGCCACTGACCAAGACGTCACTTCTCGCACCCATTCCTGGAAGGGCACGCGAGCTTGGTGCTCGGGCCCCAAGGCGCGGAGGGTTTCCGCGCCGGTGTCGGCGCAGACGACCCCGTGTTTTTGCGTCGCTCATCCGGGCTGCTCGGGCCTCTGCCGCCTGCCGCTGCGGCGGGGGCGGCCTCGCGCTGCGGGCGGCAGGAGGACGAGGGCCAGAAGGAAGAAACGGAGGAGCAGAAGGGGGCGCAGAAGGCGCAACGGGGGGGGCGGCGGAGGCTGACGACGACGATGAATCCGACGACAATGCATTCGAAGACGACGACCACGTCAACGACCACGACCACGACCGCGACGACGACGACGACGACGACGACGACGACGACGACGACGACGACGAAGACGGTAGCGAGTGGCGCCCCAGGGGCGCCAGCCAACCTCCATGATGTCCACCTCCGCGCAGGCCTCACCGCAGGCCACGTTGGCGTCACAGTAGTGGTCGGGGCACTTGGAGGCCCCCTTGCCGCGGCCCATGGCCGTAAGGTAGACCTGGCCGCGGCCATCGTCGTCGTCGCCGCCGTGGCGTCCGTCGCCTCCGCCGTCGGATTGGCCGAGCTCGTCGGGTCCATCAAATCATTCGTCATCGTGTGCCCCCTCGTGCTGTTCCTCCTTTTCCTTGTCGTTCCCACCCACATCCTCTTCCTCCTCCTCCTCCTCCTCATCCTCCTCTTCCTCATCCTCCTCCCCCTCCTCCTTCTCCTGCAACCTCTTCCTCCCCCTGCCTTCTCAAGCGGAACAAAACCCGTCAACACCGCTCCCCGACGCGTCCGCTAGACTCCAGTGGGACGGCACTCCGTGACTCACGGAGTGCCGTCTCCTTGGAGTCCGTAGCGGAGGTCTGGTTGGGCACTCAAAAGGCCCAACCAGCAACCCGGGGCACCGATACGCGCAGGCTGGCCGGGCCCGGCAGCCGAACGCCAGCCCGAGCAGCATCGCGGTGCACTGGCGAACAAGGCCAAGACGAATGCGGAACTGAACTGAAAGTCGAACGCCTTAGGCGCGTGGACTCGTGCAAGAACTGGATTGCCAGTCTCTCCGACGCCGCTGCATCGTGTAGTACAGTCGGGGCGCTGACCTAAGGAACCCTAAATAAGGAACGAGGCCCCTTTTTTCCATAAGTTCAACTTCGATTCCCTATCGAGGACATAGGAAAACCTGAGGCAAAGGGGTCCTTCTTCAGGGCCCCGACTGTAGCACCTCCCGCGGGATCCGGACACCGGGCGCCAGTCGGAGGCGTGACTGTGCCGGTGCGTGCGGCCCGACATGTTATCCCCGAGACTGCTTCCTCCTGCCCATCCTCCTCCTCCTCCTCCTCCTCCTGCTCCTGCTCCTCCTCCTCCTCCTCCTCATCCTCCTCATCCTCCTCCCCCTCCGCCTCTTTTTTCCTTGTCCTCCTCCTCATCCTGGTCCTCTTCCCCCTCATCATCACCATCTCTCTTCCCCCCCTCCCTGCTTGTTCATGATTCCTGTCCCCCTGTTTAGCTTCTGTCGTCCTGTTGTTGGTCGTTGTTCAATTCCGAGGTCTTGCACTCGTCGTCGCATTCATCCTCGTCGATGTTGCCATTTCCATCGTTGCAACTGTGGTTGATTGTCGTCGACCGCCTCCTCAGAGTCCTCGCCGAACTACCCCCCCCGTCATCCAATTCATCCACTTCGTCAGCATCACCACCACCAACACCACCATCACCATCATGATCGCCGTCGTCGTCGTCCAAACCCGCATCAGCAGCACCAGTGCCATCGTCACCACAATCACCATTACGAGCAGCACCATCATCACCCTCATAATCACTGGCATCAGCATCACCATCATCATCAGCAGCAGCAATATCAACATCGAGGTCGCCAGCATCACCACCCCCAGTATCACCATAATCGTAGGCCAAAGCCGTCGTCAACCAATTCCAGAATCAAAAAACACAATCGTCACCGCCCGTCGTACTCTTCATCATGATCCACCAGCATCCACATAATCATCATCAGCATCATCTTCAGCAGCATCATCAGCCTCATCATCATCATCATCATCATCATCATCATCATCCTCATCATCATCATCATCATCATCATCATCATCATCATCATCATCATCATCATCATCATCATCATCATCGTCATCTTCATCGTCATCATCATCATCGCCACCATCGCCGTCGTCACCATCATCAGCCATTCGATCATCACAACCACCATCACCATTGCCATGACCATCGCACTCGCCGTCTTCATCATGAACATCATCCGCATCATCAGCACCGTCAGTATCAACATGGTCAACAACATGCCCCTCCTCTTCATCATCGTCCAGCACACTGCGCTTGCGGGCAGTCGCCTCGGAGGGCGCCCGCGGGCGACGGACCGCAAAGGGCGACGGTCCGTCGCGCCGGGCCCGGTGCGGCGCACTCAGAGGGCCTCGTCCAACGAGGGCCCCTGGACGGCCAGGGGGCCGCTGCAGCGCCGTAGACTGGCCTCGTGAAGCGGTGGGGGAGAGTGCAGGGGCCGAGAAGCTGCGCGCAACTGCTCAGTCCTGACGCGGACGGGGACGGGGAGAAGCATCCCCGCAACCTGCGCCTGCGAGCAATCGCCCCCGAGGCGGGAGCGCGAGGCGCGCGCGACGGGCCGCAAAGGACGACGGTCCGACGCGCAAAGGGGGCCCGCGCGGCTCACTCGGAGGGCCTCGTCCAACGAGTTTGTACCACACGGTGCAGCTGGCCGCCCCTCGGCCACCGTGCACGGGCGTGCCGCGCGCCCCACGCGCGCGAGCCCGCGCTCCGCTGCTGCAACCTGCCGCCGCGGCTGGCGCAGGGCCCTGCGAGCTCCGCGCAGCGCGGGCTGCAGAGGAATACGGCCACTGCGAAGAAGTCCAGGGAAACCTGCGCGGCGCGGGAGGAGGAGGAGGAGGAGGAGGAGGAGGAGAAGGAGGAGGAGTCCAGCGGCTGCGGCGGGGGGGCGGGGGGGCCGCGAGCCGAGACGCCGGGCCGAGGTGCCGCACGTGACTGCTCGGCGCTGGAGTGGAAGGGGGCAGGGTGGAGCGTCACCATCATCACCATCACCAGCTACGTCGTCATCACCATCATCCTCACGGTAACCGTCAGCAGCATCATCAGCATCATCATCATCATCATCATCAGCATCATCAGCATCATCATCAACATCAGCAGCATCATCATTATCATAATCATCACCAGCATCATCATAACCAGCATCAGCATCATCAGCATCACTACCCACATCACAATCATCCCCACCATCATCATCATCATCAGCATCAGTATCATCAGGATAAACAACATCCTTATCATCAGCATCATCCTTATCAGCAGCATCATCATCAGCACCAGCATCAACATCAACATCTACATCCACATACTCATCTTCATCCGCATCCCCATCATCGTCACAAGCAGATCATCACCATCAGCAACAACATCCACATCATCATCATCATCCTCCTCCTCTTCCTCCTCCTCATCCTCATCATCATCACCATCATCCTCAACACCATGTTCAACAACCTCACTCCGAGATCTCCCCCCCCGCCCCGCTTGTCCCGTGCGCGGGGCTCTGGAGGCAGCAGGAAGCCAGAGGGGGTGGCAGGATGCCCTGGGATGCCAAAGGATGCGCCTCACGAGGCGCCGGGATGCCTCTCGTGGGGGGTCTTTCCCCGACGCTCGCCCACAGTGTTGGAACTCACCCAGGAGGGGGGAGCGTGAAGAGCAGGAGGAGGAAGGAGGAGGGAAATGAGAAGAGGGAAGGGCGGGGAGGGATGGGGGAAAAGGGAAGGGCGAGGAGGAGCGAGGAGAGAAAGGAGCAGAGGGAACAGGGAAGAGCGAGGATGAGAAAGATGCGAGGAGGGAAGCGCAGTCTGCAGTGAGGACCATGGCGTCGCAGCCACACCCCGCGCCCCGCAAGTCCACGGTGAACCGCAGCGTCTTGCCGAGCAGGTTCGGTCTCGAGGAGGGCGGCGCGGATGAGTAACGGAGGAGGAGAGAGCAATAAGCGAGAAGGGGGGTGTGGAGGGAGGATGTGGCAGGTAAGAGATAGAGAGAGGGAGGAAGGAGAGGGAGGTGGGAGAAAGCGAGGAGGATGAGTAAGGAGAGGAGGACGGGGAGGAGGAGGAGGAGGAGGAGGAGGAGGCGGAGGAGGAGAACGGCGAAGGAACAGATGAGGCACGACGATGATGACAGTGAAGAAGATACCGATGTGGGAGACAGGGGAGCCGCGCCGGTGCCTAGGGAGGAACAGGAGTGCCAGGAGCAAGGGAGCGGAGGTCGGACGAGAAGGGGAGCTGGGGCTCGCAAGTGGAGGGAGGGAGGGATAGAGAAGTGAAAAGCAGCAGAAGTACAGACAACCTGTATAGCAAGGACCCACGGCAAGGATGCAAGGGCCTTGGAAGGCAATGTCGACGCTTTGCGAACTGGGCGCGGCCAGCGAAAGCGGCCAAGGATGGGCCGAAGGGGAAAGAAGCAATGGTAACCCCTTGGACAGTCGTCCATCCTTACTACGTGGGTTGACTGTAACCCTAACCCTTTGGGAGGGGACCTGAGTTAGGAGGGCCAAGAACATCAGGAATAAGGGTCTGTTTTGCAAATATGCCAAGCGAAGATATCCATAAAAACCGGGAACCTTTGTTGGGTCACTCAGTTCATCTTACGATTTTGGGTCAAAGGTACTATGATGCTTTATGAATCCCACTAGCCCTTTAGGGCGTGAGTGGTTTAGCGTCTCCTCTTCCACCCCCCCTTTCTTTTGGAAGGCTTCATCACTGTTCCCTATAAATAAACACCCTTCCCCCAGGCGACTGGGGGCCAACCCGAGTCCATGCCAACCCCCCCTCCCCCACCATCCCTTGTAAGAAAACAATACAAAACACACGTTGCCTCCAAATTCGGAACATGCGCAGCCAACCCGATGCGGCCCCCCCCCCCACCACCCCTGTCAAAAAGCAATATAGAGTACACTTGGCGGCGGCGGCGGCTGCGGCGGCTGCGGCGGCGGCGGCGGCGGCGGCTGCGCGGCGGCGGCGGCGGCGGGGCGGGGGCGGCGGCGGCGTCGGCTGCGGCGGCGGCGGCGGCGGCGGCGGGGCGGGCGGCAGCGGCGGCGCGGTTAGGCAGCGGGGGGCGGCGGGCGCGGCGGCGGCGGCGGCGGCGGCGGCGGCAGGCGGCGGCAGGCGCGGCGGCGGCGGCGCGGGCGCGGGCGGGGGCGGCGGCGGCGAGCAGCGGCGGCGGCGGCGGTGGCGGCGGCGGAGGCGGCGGCGGCGGCGGCGGATTGGCCCCCAGTAGCTGCCCATCCAAAGACGACTGCTGAATATGCTGAGGCTCGGGCTAGACTCGGGTGCTACGTATGTGTTGGGAGGGCGGGTGGGAGTGAGCGAGACGGCTTGCGGGCGGGGGGGGCTAACTTGACCCCTCCCCCTACCCCCTCCCCCTGTACCTGGACGGGGGGCGGTCGCGAGGGGTGAGAGTACCCGACACGGCCTCGGCGAGGATAGCCTCCTCCTTGATCAATATCCTTCAAGATGGCCCCCGAGGCTCCCAAGGGTGCACAAGAGGGCCCAAGAGGTGCCCAGGAGGCCCAAAGAGGCCCCCAAGAGGCCCCCAAGGGCCCAAGAGGTGCCCCAGAGGCCCCAAGAGGCCCCCAAGAGGACCCCAAGATACTCCCAAGAGGCTCCCAAGAGACCCCGAAGAGACCTCAAGAGGCTGGTAAAGGCACCCAAGACGCCCCACGAGGCCTCGGCGAGAAAACAATTATCCCGGCAAAGCAACCTAACAGCGATGTGTAGAAGCATATCTGAAAGCATTCCCCTTAAGATTCAGATGAAAATCCAGTTGTAGAATTCTGCTGTTCTCGCAGTCGTAGTCGCATTCGCGATGACAGTCGCAGCGGCAACGGCAGTCGCAGTCACAGCCTCAGCCTCAGCCTGCCTCAGCCTCAGCCTCAGCCTGCCTCAGCCTCAGCCTGCCTCAGCCTCAGCCTCAGCCTGCTTCAGCCTCAGCCTCAGTCTGCCTTCAGCCTCGGCCTCAGCCTCAGCCTGCCTCAGCCTCAGCCTGCATCAGCCTCAGCCTCAGCCTCAGCCTGCCTCAGCATCAGCCTGCCTCAGCCTCAGCCTCAGCCTGCCTCAGCCTCAGCCTCAGTCTGCTTCAGCCTCAGCCTCAGTCTGCCTTCAGCCTCGGCCTCAGCCTCAGCCTGCCTCAGCCTCAGCCTGCCTCGGCCGCAGCATCAGCCTGCCTCAGCATTCAAAATGTGGCCCAGGAACGGAATTCTGGGAACTAGAAGAACACGAAGTGGCCTACAGTTGGCTCCGGGCATTCAAAATGTGGCCCGGGAATGGAGTTCTGGGAACTTGAAGAACACGAAGTGGCCTACAGTTGGCTCCGGGCATCCAAAATGTGGCCCGGGGATGGAGTTCTGGGAACTTGAAGAACACGAAGTGGCCTACAGTTGGCTCCGGGCATTCAGAATGTGGCCCGGGAGTGGAGGTCTGGGAGGTCGAAGAGCACGAAGTGTGTGACTGTTTTCGAAAAACGAGTGCGGCGGCAGCCGCGGCGGCAGCCTGTCCGGGTCCCGCCCAGACCCCCCTGAGGAGTCATGATGCTCTCTTTTGAAACCACTAGAAACCTATCAGCAAGAGCTATTAGGAAACAATTATCCCGGCAAAGCAACCTAACAGCGATGTGTAGAAGCATATCTGAAAGCATTCCCCTTAAGATTCAGATGAAAATCCAGTTGTAGAATTCTGCTGTTCTCGCAGTCGTAGTCGCATTCGCGATGACAGTCGCAGCGGCAACGGCAGTCGCAGTCACAGCCTCAGCCTCAGCCTGCCTCAGCCTCAGCCTCAGCCTGCCTCAGCCTCAGCCTGCCTCAGCCTCAGCCTCAGCCTGCTTCAGCCTCAGCCTCAGTCTGCCTTCAGCCTCGGCCTCAGCCTCAGCCTGCCTCAGCCTCAGCCTGCATCAGCCTCAGCCTCAGCCTCAGCCTCAGCATCAGCCTGCTCAGCCTCAGCCTCAGCCTGCCTCAGCCTCAGCCTCAGTCTGCTTCAGCCTCAGCCTCAGTCTGCCTTCAGCCTCGGCCTCAGCCTCAGCCTGCCTCAGCCTCAGCCTGCCTCGGCCGCAGCATCAGCCTGCCTCAGCATTCAAAATGTGGCCCAGGAATGGAGTTCTGGGAACTAAAGAACACGAAGTGGCCTACAGTTGGCTCCGGGCATTCAAAATCATGCCCAGGAATGGAGTTCTGGGAACTTGAAGAGCACGAAGTGGCCTACAGTTGGCTCCGGGCATCCAAAATGTGGCCCGGGAATGGAGTTCTGGGAACTCGAAGAGCACGAAGTGGCCTACAGTTGGCTCCGGGCATCCAAAATGTGGCCCGGGAATGGAGTTCTGGGAAGTCGAAGAGCACGAAGTGGCCTACAGTTGGCTCCGGGCATTCAAAATGTGGCCCGGGAATGGAGTTCTGGGAAGTCGAAGACCACGAAGTGGCCTACAGTTGGGGCATTCAAAATGTGGCCCGGGAATGGAGTTCTGGGACTCGAAGACCACGAAGTGGCCTACAGTTGGCTCCGGGCATCCAAAATGTGGCCCGGGAATGGAGTTCTGGGAGGTCGAAGAGCACGAAGTGTGTGACTGTTGGCTTAAAACGACTTCTGCGGCACCCTGTCCGGCACCCGCCCAGACCCCACTGTGGAGTCATCTGCTGCTCTCTTTTGACCCTACTAGAAACCTATCAGAACAAGCTGTTAGGTAATAACTAATGTGACTAAGGTGCTGGCCAAAGTTTATCCTCCTGGAAGGGGGGGCATGTTGAAACGGGGGGGGGCAGCAAAAAACATTGAGCGCCCCTGGACAACCGGGGAAGGGACAGCCCCCCCGCAGTGGGGGAATAAGGGACTATTTGGGAGGTTTCTCTATCTGTGGCTCTCTGGCTCTCTCTCTTTCTGTCTGTCTCTCTTTCTTTATCTCTCTCTCTCTCTCTCTTTCGCTCTCTCTCTCTCTCTCTGGCTTGCATGTTGATTGTTGTGTTGTTTCTCTCTCTCTCTCTCTCTCTCCTTCTCCGTTTCTCTATGGTGGAATGTCAATGTCTCTCTCTCTCTCTCTCTCTCTTTATGTCTCTCTCTCTATCTATATATACATATATACATATGTATATGTATATATATATATATATATGTCATTATAGATCCCTCTCTCTCTCTTTTGTTGCTCCTGTCTCTCTCGCTCTCTCTCTCTCTCTTTCTCTCCTTCTCTCTCTCTCTCTCGCTCCTTCTGTCGAAAACATGATAACAATGGGTCACATCTCATAGTCCTACCAAAGATTTACACATATAAAGCGCATTCGTTTAATTGGACCCGGTACACCTTTGGGATAAACCTCGCCGGGGTGGAACGACGTTTTACATAAACCGATCAAGGATGGGGCCACCTGAGAGATTGGCCCGCCCCTGATTGAATCCCATTGGGGCTGGGCCAGCCTCTAATATAATCCCACTGGTGATGGTGCACCTTCTAATGCACCCTTAGGGATTGGGAGAACTCTGACAACGTCCTAAGGAGGATGGGCCCACCTTTAATCTGGTCGCATCAGGTATGACGCCACCTCGAACGAAATCCGATCAAGGATAAAGCCACTTGTAGCATGATCCTAGTGGGAACGGCCTCACCTCTAACAGAATCGCAGCAGGGTCGAAGCCCCTTGCAATATAATCAAATCAGGGATGGAGGCACCTCTACTGTAATCCGATCGTGGAAGGCCCATATCCAGAATAATCATATTAAAGGAAGGTCCACCTCTGACAGAATCTGATTAGCGATATCGCAATCCTTTAAACATATACGAACACTGCGACGCGCACATTACTCAGAATCCTGTTAGCGGTGGGCCCGCCTTCAGGAAAAGAATCCTGTTCAGCATGGGGCCACGTGCAAAAACAAACATACATTGCAGGTGGGGCCACCTCTACT